GTACTAGGTCTTGGAATCTGGAAGACCTGAGTTCAAACCTGGTCTCAGATCCTTACTACCTATGTGATACTGGGCAAGTCACTTAATATCTGTTTGCCTCAGTTCCCTCAATTGTAAAATAATGGTATTAACACTTACCTCCCAGTGTAGTCGTAATGTGCTTAGCACAGTGCCTGACACATAGTAAGTGCTTTAATGTTTTCTTCCCTCCTATCTACCTACCTATCCCAACATATAGACACCACAGGTATCTGAGAGAAACTTTTTTTAATGGTAACCTGATGCTTGAGCAGTCCGAGGGTAACCCAGAAACCACAGTAAATCAACCAGAAGGGTGATCTGGAAACAAACACCCCATCACAGATGCTATAAACACATTTGCACTCATGTGTACCTAGTATAAGATTCTCCATTGAGAATGCTCAATAAATGCTGTAAACTGACTTCATATACAGCCAAGATGAGCTGGACCACTGGATAAAGACCATTCTGCCTATCTGATATCTATAGGGAATGAGAGAAATATGGGGTCTGAGGACAGTTATGGGGAGTCTATGCATCACTCACTGCTTAACTCCTCTGTGGTGCAACAATAGAGAATCCATGTGGTCAAAGCCTAGGCAGAAGCCTCCCTGTTCTACACTGAACATCTCTGGGAACAACCATATCACATAAATGAAATCAGAGTTCTCTTTCTCCCCTCCAACCTACAGTCAGGGCTCTGTACTATTAGTTTTGTGACCTTAGGGAATCTTTCTTTTTGGTGCTCCAGCTTAATCTCTAAAATGAGTCTCAGAGGTGCTGTGGACCTTATCAATAACATATTTAATCATGTACCTGATAGGTAGGAGGAAATGTTTAGTGGAAGGAGAACTGAAAGTGAAACCAGGAGTGGGTTCAGATTCCACCTCTGACTCTTAATGTCTTGGACAAGTCAATTCTATTTTCTGACCTTCAATTTCCTCATCATAAAATGAAGAAGTTTTCTAAGAATTCTTTCAACTATAAAATATTTTGTTCCAGTGATATCATGGCTTTCACTACCCCAAAGCACCACTGTTACAACAGCATCTGGAAGGTCCTTATACGTGATTTACTATGCAAAGATAACTTTCCTTCCTGTAGATCAGAAAAAATAAATCCAAGCCATTTACTGGAGATTAGACTTGCACCTTCTGAAAACCTTCTCACCCCTAGAGCAAGACCTTCCTTGACCGAATGTTCTCAGTGGCTCCAGTGGATGGAGATAAAAGTCTTTTTTTATCTATCTGCTTACTCTGACATCACTTTCTGTTCTCTCCTTGCCATTTTTCTTGCTTGCTAGCTTCACTTCCCCTCCTTACCCAGCATGGCATAGTGGTTATAGTATTGGACTTGCATGAAAGAAGGCCTGGGTTCAAAACCTACTTTAGACAATAACTACCTGTGTAACCTGGGGCAAGTCACTTGCCCTTTCAGGGCCTCTGTTTCCTCATCTGCAAAAGGAAAGGGTTGGACTCAAGGGCCTCTACGGTCCCTTTCTTAGCTCAAAGCCTAGGACTTACCTTTTCTTATTTCTTCACATTTCTCCACAGTCCCACATTTCTATTTCCACCCTCTCCTCATTTTTCCTAGTCTTCCCATCCCACCAGTCCTTAACTTCCTTCATCCCCACTCCTATTGACCCTCATTCATACCTATTTCTATATCATCCTCTCATTCGCCTTGCTTAGCCACATCTGCACCCTTTCCCTCATTATTCTTTCTTCTCATTCTTTCCCCTCTCCTTGGTCTTTCATCCTCTGCCTCCCAAGAGACTTCCACCCCAGGCATGATTCATAATACAACAATAGGTTGTCAAAGCTATGAAGTCTTAGATGGTGAGCATCTAGTCCAACCCCCTCATTTTAGAGACAGGAAACCTGAGGCCTGGAGAAAGAGAGATCTTCCTAAGGTTACACAAGGAGCTGGCGGCTAAGCTAGAATTTAAACCCAGATCTCCTGTCTTGAAAGTTCAGGGCTCTTTCCCCTTGCACCAAGCTGCCTCCAAGAGTCTGACTGCAGGGCAAGCCTGGCTCCCAGAAACCAGGGTACCAGCATTCTCTCCCTTCTCCCCACCAAGGTAGATCCCTGTAGAAAGCTTTCTTCAATCCCCAACAGCTGGAGTACTGAGCAGCCTTGGAATCTGTGCTGCCCTTTCCCCTTTCCCCCACCTAGGCCCTTCCTGTCCCTTGATCCCAAGACCAGAAAGCCTAGACTTGGAGTCAGACCATGTTAGATTCCAGTTTCTAACAGTAATGACATGTATGACCTCAGGCAAGTCAATCTGCCTCTGAGCACAGAAGCTAGTATATAGTAAACACTTAATAAAGGCTTTTTAATTCATTCCGCAGCACATACCTCATACATACCTTTTAAGTGTGTTGCAAACTCTAAGTTATGATATGGTCATGAGCTCAGACCCTTTTGCCTGATATTTGAGCTCCTTCATGGTCTGGCCATAGCATATCTTTCCAATCTGATTTTCTTCTGCTCTCCTACAATGGACCAGCAGCTGGAGGCATCCCTCTCTGCTTTTGGCGCCCAGGGTGCAGACATAAGGATATCGCCTCATAGACACCATGGGGAGAGTGGCCTTGGGCTCCAGATGAGCCTGCCCTGGCACACCATGAACTCTGCTCGGAGTATACAACCGTGGCCCTCTGTTAAATTTCATTTTGGCAGCCTAGTCTCCTGGCAGCTCAAACTGCCACCACCATCTCCCTTTCACTAGGCCATGGAAGGTTTTAAGCAATAACAATGATTTACTGGGAAAGGAGCAATGCTGGTCATGTTCTTAAGAGACAGCCAAAAAAAAGCTAACATCTTCTTAAAGGGCAAAAATCCAAAGCGAGGGAGATTACAGTCCCACTGTTGGACTCTGCCTCTCTCAGGCCACATCTGGGGTAGTATGCTGAGTTGTAGGCACACTATTTTTAAGGGCACTGGCAAACTGGATAATGTCCAGAAGAGGGCAATCAGAGTGGCAGGAGGAGGACTAGACACCATACCATTCAAGGACTAAATGAAGGAACAAATAAAGGTAACAGATGCACTTTGTCAACTTTAAAGTACCACACAAAGACGGCTCATTATTAGTACTGAAGGCCTGGAATGCTTAGCTTGTAAAGGGCTTGCGGGGAAGGAGGGTGGGCACAGGCTCACTGCATTCAAGTGCTTGAAGGCTATCAGGTGGATAAGGGATGTGTATAGTGACTGCGGTATACAGAGGAAGAGGTAACAGGTATGCACCATGGGAGGTGACTAGAGTGCATGAGGAGAAGAAGTGTTTGGAATTCTAGACATGAGGGGCAGGAGAGGGGTCAGAGGTCGCTCCCCTCCTGAGCCCCTTTCCACCAAGGGCTTGGTTTGGGGCTGAGCTCTCCCCACACTCTAGGCATGAGCCTTCCTGTAGCTTCTGACCCCATAAGGACATGAGTGTCAGGAACTGAGGCTATTTTTATTCCTACAGCTTCCTGGACATCCATGTGTCTTATGTGTCTTCTTGGGCTCTGCAGTAAATGTAAGCTGGGAGTTAGTGACTTGTGCTCTAACAGATATGGGGCCTAAACTCAGGGCCAGGATGCTCAGTGCAGACTCGGGGCACATTCCCAGGGTGGGTACTGGGTCTGCCCTGTGCACCCAGGGGTCAGTGCTGTCAGCTTCAATGTGGGGGCAGATGAGGTCCTTGTCCAGAGGAGTTCCCAGTAGGTTAAGGGTCACCTGTGCTACCCTTAGAACCTCCCAAAGTAGGACTATGTCATGGTAGGCGATGTCACCCCTTGTCCAGGGAGGTTTTTCTTGTTTGGGGTATGTGATTTCTAGAAGTATATCCATGTGAAGACTTAGTCCTGTGTGCCCAGTGACCGTTGACAGTTTGGGTTCAGTGCCAGATTAGGACTTCTTATAGTCCCTAGGGGAGTGGTGCCTGTGCCACCCTGGGGCAAGAGTGGGGGGAATCAGGCTCCCTATAGTAGAATACCCATTTCCCCCAAGGAAGAAAGGACCCTTTGTTCCCCAAGGCAGGAGGGGCAGTGTATCTCTGGGTTGGTTCCATGTCTTCCTAAACAAGACATCTACTGCATGTCTTGGGATGCCCTCAGCCAGGACCCAGTGTGCTGATAGTTGTATAGCTGAGACGAGACAGAGAGGTAGTGGGATGGTCAAGTTCATGGTCATCACCTAGCCTGGGCCCAGCTCGAGTAACTCGGGAACGGGTTGGGTGGGGTCGGCATCTAGCACAAGTGGCCATGCAGGCCTGACGGAAACGCCGATGCATGAAGCAGTAGACAAGTGGATTGACACAGGCAGAGACATAGCTGAGCAAATGGATGAAAGAGATAGGGGCTCCTGAGAGGGCACGATGAGCACCTTCCCTGTCAAAGGCACGCCACGTGTTGGCACTGTATAAGGGCAGCCAGCATAAGAAAAACAGCCCCACGATCACCAGCAGCATCCGTACTACCCGCTTCTTGGCCTGAAGCTGAGCCTGAGCCTGAGCTGGCCATGAGCTCACACTAGGTCCAGGGCCTCGGGTGTCCCTTCTAGAGGCAGTGGGGGTCAACGCTGAGAGTTCCATTCCAGATTGTTCTGAGAGTAGATTCACATAGCAGCCATCACCTTCCTGGCCTGCAGGTGCCCGGGTACTTGGCCCATTGGAAAGCGCTAGCAGGGGAGGAAGGATTGCCAATTAGGATTGATATATGGACCCCCAAATCCTACCTAGCCACCTGGTCTCCAGCTCTAAGAACCCTGGAGGTCCTGACATTTAACTGCCCTCTTCCTGTGACCCCTAACCTAATTATGACCTCTGAGTCATTTTGTGCTGTATTGGGAGTCAGAAGACCTAAGCTCTGGGGTGAATCTGGCTCTGAGACTTACTATCTGTGTGGACTTGGGCAAGTCACTTACCCTCAGTTTCTTCATTTGTGAATGAGATGATTTCTAAGGAATTGGAGTTGTGAGTGGAAAAGAGCTCTGGATCAGGTCAGAGGACCTGGGCTCAAGTCTCAGATCTGCCACTCAGTACCTTTGAGGTACTGACTGCCTCTCTGAGCTTCAGTTTCCTCATCTGTAAAATGTCACTGAATGACCTCTAAAGTTCCTTCCAGCTCTCTGTGATCCAATGATTCTTCTTGAGCCCTAGCTCTAACCTGGATCCCCACCTCGCCCCAAAATTACCTCTAATAGTTTTTCCAACCCCCTCCCCTTGCCCCTCCCCAGCAGCACCCTCCCACTGACCTGGGCTTGGCCCACCAGGTAATCCGCAGTGTCTGTGGTCGCCGTTCTGGCCCTGCTGCCCATGCCCGTGCCTCTGGCTCTGACTCTCGAAGCGGATCCCCAAGTAGAGTTCGCGGGAGATGAGACCGTAAGCCACGGCCATGACTACGCCAGGTACAAAGAACAGGAACAGCAGCAGCAACACAGACCTGTGGAGTGGGGAGGGGCCAGGCCATCCAGCTCATCCTATCAAAGAGCGGCTGACCTCGCCCTAGGCCCCTCCCGCTCGACCCCGCCAATCAAAGCATGCAGGGACACCTGTCTACTGCAGCATCCTCGCCCTGCTCTCCCCCAACCCTAACCAATCACGTAACAGTTCGGGAACACCTGCCTCTTGCACCTGGCACCCACACCAAGGGAGTTACTGATGAGTTAGGAAACCGCCTGGGGACTAGAATTTGGGGAGCTGAGGATTGTTGACCACACCTTCAGCGAGGCCCGCCCTCTGAGGTCTGAAATTTGCAATTTATTTACCTACAATGATGCCGACTCAATGGGGGAGGAGGACTGGGGTGTGGAGGGGCAAAGGTTGCCTCTGTGGTGGGAGCTGAGTTCTTCGAGGCAGGTAATGAGGCAGTCTCGAGACCGACACAGGCGTCTGGGTAAACTTAAGAGAACTAGGGATAAGGAATCTGCCAAGATATGCTGCAGGGACCAGGGAAGGGGCATTCTCTGGGCACATTCAGAAGCCCACGGAGGAAAGGTACTGTGTGAGCTGGAAGAGGGGTGTCTCTAAGGGTAAGCGCTATTCCCAGAGGTTTGAGGCTTACCATGCCTGGCGCGCTCGATTGCTAGGCCAGCTGTGCGTGCACTGCAGTGCGCGGGGGCTCACTGGCCTCACAACGGAGTACACGGGATAGGGTAGCATGAGCAGACCAGACAGTAGCCACGTGGCCACGATGACACGCACGGCGTGGGAGCGTGTCTGCCACACTCGTGCCTGCAAAGGCCGGCAGATGGCGCTGTAGCGCTCCAGGGCGATGGCCACCAGGCTTAGGGTGGACACACTCACAGACACTCCTAGGGAAAGGAGGCGGACAGCAGACACATGAGCACCATGCCAACTGGCACCAAGGACAACTTCATATGACCTCAAATACTTCTTGCATCCCCAGCCCCTAGGAAAGAGGTAGGATCCTAACATTTACCCAACCCTCAGCACCCCAAGCTCCTACATCCCCCACTCCATCACCTCCTACACACCCCTCTCCTCTCCCGAGGATAGGTGATGCAGGGCAGGGCTGGGAGCTCACCCATGAGATAGGCGACAGCCTTGCAGACTACAGTGCCGAAGATGAAAGTGCCCATGAGGTTGGGCAGGAGGGTGAAGGGCATACAGGCCACAGCCAGGAGTAGGTCGCTGACAGCCAGTGAGAGCAGGAAAGCATTGGTGACCGTGCGCAGGCGACGGCTTAGTCCCAGCACTGTGATTATCAGCATGTTTCCTCCCACGCTCAGCAGGAAAATGACGACGTACAGGGTCACCCTCACTGCCAGCTCCAACTCTGGGACCCAGGAAAGATGGCAACAGAGGTTGGTCAGGACCTGCTGAACTTGAGGTCCCTCCATCAGATGTCCCCAGCACAGGAGCCCTTCCCTCCAGCTCTAGGGCCCCACTCTGACCCTCTTCATTTTGAGGAAATCCCCATGTACCTCTACTGAAGACTTGCTCTATTCAACTGAGAATTAAAACATGCTGCAAAAAAATGTGAGGCGTGGGAGGATGGCACGGTTAAGAAACAATTGTGGCTGTAGATGAAACTTAGCAAAGAGACATCTTTCTAGGGAAATTAGGCACGAATAATACCATTTATATAGAGCTTAAAGTTTGCAAAGGACTTTACATATGTCATCTCATTTGATCCTTACAACCTCTCTAAGGGGTAGATGCTATAATTATTCCCATTTTACAGTTGAGGCAAAGAGGTTAAATGAATTGCCCAGGGTCACACTGCTAGATAACTGAGGCAGGATTTGAACCCAGATATCTCCAGATTCCAGCTCCCCCACTCTATCCAATGCACTACCTCACTGCTTCAGAGGTAAGGTCTTATTTGAGAAAATCAAAAGCCTAACCATGAAAGAAACTTTTATGACTGGCAGGCAGTAGTGACTCTGTTGCAGCTTTCCCCCTCTTAAGTGTGCCATTTGTAGAACCCCAAACCAGAAGGCAATGTTTTGAAATCATGTTCTCCAGGAGAGTGAGACCAAGATAAAAAAGCTTTCTCCCCTTGGGAAGAAAAGTGCAGGGAGGCACAGCTCTCGCTTCCAGAGCTAAAGAGCAGAGGTGAGAAGGCAAATTATCACCCTTGTGAGTTACAAAGACGTAGTTAGTTAACAGCTGGAAGAAAGCCTATTGGGGTAAAGAGTGTGAAGAACCAACTAGAACTAGGAATACGACTTTTTTTTTCCACCAGAGGCACTAGAGATGATGTCTAAACTGTCACCTCGTAGTACTTAATTTCTTTAACATACTCATATTCTGCACATGGAGAACAGCACTGAAAGTTAAAAGGGAGCTTTGAGATCACCAATCAGGGGTGGGGAATCTGCGGTCTCAAGTCCTGACCCTGAGTCCTAGTTGAATTCCTAATTTTATTGTTGAGGAAACAAGCCCAGGGACATGAAATAACTTGCCCATGATCACAAAGGTAGAAAGTATCATGGACAGGAATTCCCACCCAGGTCCTCTACCCAAAGTCCATGCTCTTTCCACTCAATAATTTGTCTTATAATTATTCATTTTTGCTCTGTTTCCCCTATTACTGACTTCTGAGGGGAGTGGTCACCTCTACTTGACATTATCTCCTCCAGTTTTTAGCAGATAGCCCTGCATAAAACCAGATCCTATTTTAAAAAAAAGTTGGTTGAATGAATGAAGAGAATTTGTTTACATTTGAGCTTTGGGAAGAAAATGGTACTTAAAATTATAGGTACTGGAATTTTGTTAGTCTTGCTTTAAATTTTAGCCCTTGGCTTACATTTAGGCATTAGAGATTAGTAAATTATTTTTCCTGTAAGTTTAAGTAATTGTTGTTCAGTCATGTCTGACTCTTTGTGACCACATTTGGGGTTTTCTTGGCAAAGATACTGGAGTGGTTTGTCATTTCCTTCTCCAGTTCATTTTACAGATGAGGAAACTGAGGCAAACAGGGTTAAGTGACTTGCCCAGGGTCACATAGCTAGTAAGTGTCTGAGGCTGGATTTTAACTCATTAAGATGAGTCTTCCTGATTCCAAGCCCAGTGCTCTATCCACTGTGCTACCTAGTTGCCCCAAAAATTTAAGTAAAGAATTTTTTAAATAAAAAAAAAATATGGATTATGCATTCTAGCCTTGATCCCTTTTGGGTTACCTTTAACAGAGTGTAGGGTAAGTCAAGATTTTTGGCCTAATGCTAGGAAGCATAGGAAACTCACTTAAAACTGATAGCAGCCCTTTGGTTAGATTGTAGACATTGGCCCATTCCAAAGGAATGGCCATACAAATATTATACTTTCCTTGGAGCCCTTACCTGATTTCCCATCCTCTGCAATCCATGAGTATGAGTGTGGGCCTTGGACCTGCACACTTTGACATGCAAGCCTGGACAATCTTTCTGTCCATACACTTCTCTTAAGTCACATACTATCCCAGTCAAACAGTTTTAACTAAGTCCAGGTCTCTTTGGGGACTCTTTCTGCCCCACAGACTAGGGACTGTCCAAAGGTAGGTCCATGTTTCACTCTTCAGACATCAAGGGAGCTAATGCTATTTGTGGAGGGTGTTGTTGTGGGATTGAGGACGTATGCTGATATTCATCCACATTGCAGGGGCTGAAAGGAGCAAGAAGTCAGCATAGATGGAGGTCAATGAAAAAAGCTTATTAACTGAATGAATGAAAGGATAAATAAGTGAGTGGGTGGATTTGTGGATGGGTCCATGGATTAAGAGATGGATGGACAGTGGATGGATGGGTAGATTGGAGCATAGTTAGAGGTCATCTAGGTCAATCCCTAGGAAAAGCTATGGGGAGTTCCTTGGAAATGGGTGAGGGGATTGTAAAATTCAGTACAAATTATGATGTTACCCAGTCAAGATGTTTAGTGAGACTGGTTTGTGATGGCTTTAAGGGAGCTAAGAATGCAGGCAGTAGGTGACCCAGGGCTGGCATTTTGCCATCACATGAAAGATTCTTGGGCAATATCCACTCCTCACCTCCTTTCTCCATTATGTGGCAGCACCCTACCCCTTTATTCAATATGTCTATGCTTTCCCATTCCTTTTCAGGATAAGAAAATCCATGTCTATTCAGGGCATCTTAATTCTACATAGTATTCTACAGTGAGTCAGTTCTGCTCTTAGCATAGTGCCTGGCACATAGGAGGTGCTTAATAAATGCTAGTTGACTGTCTCTACTCAAAAGTAGAGCAAGGGAGAGAAGCAAAGCTGAGCAGTGAAGAAAGGTCTGTAAAAAAAGAGAGGAAAATTGGTGCAAAGGTAGGAGGGACAGGAAGAGTGAAGAGGGAGACAAGGATAGGAGGAAAGTGAAAGTGTGGAAGGGAATAATAAGGAAGTTGTGGGGTGAAGAGTAAGGGGAGTAGGAAGAGAAATGAAGGTAGCAAAGAAGAAAAATGTGAAGGGAGGAAACACTCAGTAACTGGTGATGAAAAGAGGGGAAAACTAAGAAGATATTGGAGTCATCCACACATAGAAGATACTTGCATGGATGAGATCCTGGAGGACGGAAAGAAGAGGGCTGAATATAGAACCTTGAGACCATTACATTTAATGGCAGACAGAAAAAGAGGAACCAAGAGAGACAAAGGAAAGTTCATTGAGGTGGGACACCCAGGAAAACTTGGGGTTAGGAAACTAAGGAATCCACAATTAGGATTCACAATTAGGCACGGTTCCCAGTGATATACTGTAGAAAGGCTTAGGAGGACTAACAAGTCCAGATGATGAAGCAATATCTAGATGCTGGAAGTAAGGTATGGAAAGGGAAAGGGCTCTTTCCCTCATCCCCCACCTCTCACACTCAACCCCCGCAAACCATGTATGGAGGATGCTCTGGAGACTGAGAAACTTTTAAGGATGAGAAAAGGAAGAAGAGGCATGAGGTAGACAGATTCTTGTCTGGACCAAGCCAAGAAGGGGCTCGGGAGTACAGTTCAGCAAATCCTGAAGCAGCAGCCATACACCAGGAGTGGTGACAGACCATTCCCTTCCTTCCTCCCTCCCTCGCTCCTTTCCTTCCTTCCTTCCTTCCTTCCTTCCTTCATCTTTTCAGCCACCAGAAAATCTAAAGCGCAAACAGGGTGGTCAGATTGCTACTAAGGAGAGTGCAGGGCCTATGGAAAGGCCAGAGATGGAGGTGATGGGGTGTTGACAGGATTTTCTAGAGTCAGAGATAGGGTGGGAATAGAATTACATTTGATTTTAAATTTCTTGAGAACAGGGGCTGTGTAGTCTCTCTCAATGTATCCATAGCAATGAGCACATAGTACGTGTTTAATAAATGTTTGTTGAATTAAAATGTCAGATCTGGAAGAGGCCTTAGAGGAGGAAATTCTTGACCTTTTTGTATCATGGTCCCCTCTGGCAGTCTAGTTATCCTAGTGAAGCCCATGGATCCTTTCTCAAAATAATGTTTTTTTAAAAAAATATTATGGTAATTTTTATCTATTTTTTCTGTTTTCAACATTTATTTTCACAAGATTTTGAGTTCCAAATTTTCACCCCATCTCTCCCCTCCCCCACCCCAAGATGGCATGCATTCTGAATACCCTTTCCCCTAGTCTGCCTTCCCTTCTATCTCTCCCCCCCCAAAATAATTTTTTTAAGTGCATAAAATAAAATACATGTGATTACAAAGGAAACCAATTATATCAAAATACTAAAAGTTCTAAGTTCTCAGACCCCGTGAAATCTATCCATGGATCTCTTGGGGGTCCTTGGATACCAGGTCAAGAACCCCTGCCTTGGAGAATATCTCAACTAATATTTCCAAAATTGTTTCTCAGGACCCCACTGGTTTCATGAAAAATGAATGAGGTACCATAAAAGAATGTAAATATTTGTGGTATTTTCCCTCTACAATATGAATATGAAGTGATATGTCAAAATAATAATAGCTCTCATTCTTTAGTACTTTAAAAAGGTTTATAAAGCATTTTCTTCACAACACTCCATAGATATGGATTTATAGACTACAGCTGAAAATACAGGAATGATGGGCTCTTGGCCAGGGATGAAGTACACCTAATGAGGACTGCTCAAAGTATGTTGGCCTGGAATCTTGTAAATCTAATCAAGATGGCTTTAAATTGAAAAGGGAAGGGAAGGGAGAAAAGGGCATGTTCACTACACACACACACACACACAAACATACATACATACCATACACATCTATCAAACAACACACCACAGAGAGAGGTAGTGCAAAATAGGAAGAAGCATATCAATAGAAAGGACCAATAAGTCACAGGAGACAATATCCAAGAAAAGGGTCAGCAATAAAACTC